TAAGATTTAGATTCCTTCTGGTATTGGGTGACCATTCTCTGATGGAGACACACCAGAAGTAGCCCAGAAACTCAGTGTGTTTATTTTATACATCTGAACAGAGTTGGTAGGTTTTGGTGGGTGGTGTCTATAGGGAACAGTTTGATATTGCAGTCCCCTGAGGAGGAAGCTGCCATTGATATTGTCTACATACACTGTCAATAGGCATACTTGGACCAGGGGAATGCTTTGCTAGTTCCGTGGGTCTGAGACTTTGGAGTCCATTACATGGCTGTACTCATGTCAACAACTCCCATGTACTCACGACTTCATTCACGCTTTATGTATTCTCTCAGGCTATTCTCTTCTTCCCATAACTCCTATTACCCTCCTCTCCTGTGGCTGATTTGCCTGTATCCCACAAATAGCTGCCCCTCTGCTTTTATCTTTAGAGTCTTCAAGTGAAAAGGCATCCATACTTCTCTTTCTGAGTCTCACTCACTTTTTCTTAACAGAATGATCTCTGACTCCATCTGTTTTCCTGCAGTGTTGTAATTTTGGTCCTCTTTAGAACCAAATAAAACATTATTAAATGTGTGCACAGCACTTTCTTTATCCATTTATCTGTTGGTGGGCATCTAGGCAAAGAACACAGCAAAGAACATGGGTCCGATTCCTTTGGCTATATGTCAAGGAGTGTTTTACCTGGAAAATATAGAAGTCCTGCTATTAGGTGATTTCAGAGCCTCCACACTGACTGCACTAGTAGGCACTGTTCTTGTTGGTATATAAGTGCTTCTTCACCAGTATCTCCATCCTTCTTTATTATAGACATTCCAATGGGGGTGAGATGGATTATCTCAGTTTGCATGTCCCTCGAACTCATTATGTTTTCAATAGAGATAAATTCTTGATTTGACATTTATTTTTCATAATTTGTACAAACTTTAACTTAAAAATAATCTTGCAGGGAGAGTAAATATGCTACAAAAGGATCAGTGAGCACTTGGATTTGCAAAGTGGTTAATTTAAATTTGACATTTAGAGACAGCTTAAAACACTGAGCACGGCCATAAGGTAATCAGAGCTTTTTAAATTGTTCTCTACAGTATGCAATTGACACTTCATTTTATTTAAAACACACGACAATTTTGCTGTCTGAATGTCCTAATTGTTTACCTCATTTCCTCTTTTACTTTTCATCCATGGTTCATAAACGATATTTTTTTTTGCTTTAAACATATTTTATTTGTATTATTTTGTGTTATTCTGCATATGTCCATGTTTATGTGGGTGCCTGTGGACTCCAGAAGAACGTATTAGACCACACAAAGCTGGAGTTACAGGCAGTTGTGAGCATGAAACTGATGTCAGAGCAGAAAACTGAACTCTGCTCCTCTGCAAGAGCAGCTTTTGTTCTTAACAGCCGAGCCATCTCTTAACCCCAAGTTTTTGCCTTTTGAAGAGATGTCTCAATCTCAAAGAATTAAAAGAAACTTTCATGTCATGGTTTTCCTTATTACAAATCCAACCCCAAACCTGCCAAGTGCACTAACAACCTAACGAAGGGGTTTTAATCTACTTCTGACAATATTTTTTCCGAGTTATTAAGTCGGTCTTCTTTTTATTGCAATAAGTATTTCATATTTAATCTGTGATTGTTTGGTATTTCAAAAAGTAATAACATTGTCAACTCAACCAGTTTGTGGTAGATAAAATGCAGACATGACTTGGAGGCCAGCCTATCTGGCACACTGTGTTCCTAAACAAGAAGCCCGTTGAATTATGTTTCTGAGTGTGCCTAGAAGTCAGAACACTGGATTCTGAAGTACCATAAGTAACTGGTCTGCTGAGCAGTCTGCACTCTCCAAGCCTCCTTTTATGTGCTTCTTCCAACCAGAGGTAATGTGCTAATCAACCATAGTCAATAGCCTTCCACTATTTAAGTAGTTATTCACATACTATAAAGTAGATGTGGCTCCCAGGCGCGATCTCTGGAGTGGTTTTCTCCATGCCTTTTACCTACCTATTGGCATTTTGTTCTTGTAAGGTGACTCCTGATAGCCCAATTGCAATGGGTCTCAGAATGTGTGGACTTGAACCTAAAAGTCTGTTGTGCTGCTAATTGGTTGAGTGAACTCATAACTGTAGCTTCAGCTTCCTCTGTCTCTGTTATTTGACCAGTAAGATAAAGTGACTGAATTACACGATATCTAAAATGTCTAGAGGCTCTCAAGCCTTCTCTTATCTCAAACAACATGATTGCATTTCCATCTGTAGTGACAGACACAAACAAGGTTTGATTTATACTACGCTCTAATTCTGATTATGTTTCTAGTTCACTCAGTCATGTAATTTCAGAGTAAGATTTTGGTCAGAGTCTTTATGAAGGTTGACATATTCTCTCATGTTTACTGTTTCTGGAAGTTAGGCAACATATGTTGAAAGTAGAGAGCTGTCAACCTCAGAGGACCAAAACTTGAGCATCTTTCAGGCACTTTCTACTCTGTACAAACACTGGGATCATATTAAGGACCAACAAAAAGTGGGAGAGCTTTGGAACAAAACACATTAGAATTTTCTTTCTTATTAAAAAGTTTTCCTGCTGATCTATTACCTATGTGATTCTAGAGAAAATGACAAGAAAACGGGAGTATAGCTTATAAGGTTTTATTGTAAAATAATGTTATGATTTTATTAAAACGTTTTCTTTGAAAAAATGCTAAGCATGTATATTGTGACAGCAACAGAATAGAGATCTTTCTAGCAGAAAAAGTTATGCTTCTTTAAAATCATTCGCCAATCAGTTCCTTCATTTAGCAGTTGCTGGGAACGTAGTCTGTGCCTATCAGGTTCTAAGAATACAGCAGTATACAAATGGTAGTCCAACTGGGAAAAGAACACTGTCAAGTGTGAAGGCAAATACACACCATCCTGTTCTTGACAACATTGCTGTCATGCATTTCCTGAGTTGAACTATTTGGACAAAACAGCAGAAAGAATATATTTCAGAAGACAACACTGATATTACTACATTTGAGTTTAACGTTTGATTTAAGATTTGAGTGAAAGTCTTGCAAGTAAGAAAAATCTTGCAAGAAGAGTGGGGGGGGGAACTTATCTGTTTTTGATTATGAAGTCTGCCAAGTACAGCTGAAACCTCTATTTTTAGTTCATGTAATCTTAGGAAAGATTTTCAAAAGCATCTATCTTCGTATATAAAAGTACTAGATTAAAGACATTTAATTTTCGCGTGTGTGTGTGTGTGTGCGTGCGTGTGTGTGTGTGTGGTATATGAACGTGTATGCATATGGGCATGGGTGGGTGCGTGAGTCTGTATGCATGTTTGCAGCAACAGGATGTTAACATCACACGCCATTTTCTAACCTCTACTATTTTTGAAACAGTTTTTTTTAAACTGAATGTGGATGGTGATGTTTTGACTAGTTTGTCTGGCTAGCAAGTCTTCAGGATCTGCCTGTCTTCAGGCTCCCCCCCCCCTCCCCGCTGGCTGTGATGCCCAAGTTTATTACATAGGTGTAAAGCCAAAGGTCGTTGTTGTCAAGTGTCTTCCTCAATTGTTCTCACCCTGATCCCCTCTTTTGAGTTAGGGCCTCTAATTAAACCTGGAGTTTGCTTGCTTGGCTAGGCTTGATGGCTAGCAAGCCCCAGGGATCCTCCTGTCTTCACCCCTGGAGTGCTAGAATGCAGCCGGATGCCTCTCTACCTAGTGGTGTATGTATGTGTGAGGGGCTCCATCTCAGGCTCCCATGTTTGAGCAGCAAGACCTTTTCTGTCTAAGCCTACCCCAGATTCCAACTCTTTATATTCATTCAGTTGCTTTTTGAGATCTTTCCTCTTCTAACCTTTATACTAAAATTGAAGGTTCCCATTTATTAGTTGAAATCATTTTCTTGTTGGAGATAACATGAGGGTGATTCTTTGTGAGTTTTATATCATGCACTCCAGTCCAGCTCACCTTCCTGTCCCCTCATATCCACCCTTTGTCCTTGCAATCTCTCTCTCTCTCTCTCTCTCTCTCTCTCTCTCTCTCTCTCTCTCTCTCTCTCACACACACACACACACACACACACACACACACACACACACACACACATTCACACGAGCATAGAAAACATCTCATTGTGGAAGCTGTAGTATGTCACAGTGTGCCCCACATCTTCACTCACAAATCTTCATTGCCATGAGTCACTGGTCTGGTTCTAGAGCTCTCTCTGGCTTCTGTGACAACATTAATATTGGAACCTCACTGGAACTCCTGGTTATCCTGTTGTTGCCCTGTGTCATGGAGACTCTGCAGCTTTGGCACAGCAGGAATGACCCTTTCATACATACCGACTGTTTGTAGATTTTGGAGTGGGCCAGATCAGCCCTGAATGTGGGCCTGGGTTGTAGGTGAGCTGGTTAGCCTGCCAGCTCTCCCTTATCAGAATCAACAGGGTGAGCTCTCCAGCACTGTTTCAGCTAGGTGACCCAATGTTGCCATCAGCAGATGGCAGGGTCCACTTTCTTGCTCTTATGCCCTTGGGGCTGGCCAACTAACATCTATGCCTCCAGAGCCAGCTTTTCTTTGCTGCTCAGTCTTGGTTTGGGGATTACTTTCCTAGTGCTACAGTCTGGAAGAGGCTAGGCCAGCTCTCTGGTTCTTATACCCTCTGGGCTGTCTTACCTGTGCATTAACCATCAGGGTCATCTCTACTGTGCTGCCCAGGCCATGTGTAGAGCCCATCTTCCTGAGAGCTGCAGCCAGCAAAGAACAGGCCAGCTCTCCCATTTTCATGACCCCAGAGCCAGCTTTCCAGTCTGCCACAAGGTGGTGAGGGAAGTGGCAGGACATCACTCCTGTACCCATTCCTGGTGGTGGTGGGTCCAGCTCTCCACAACTTTTGCTTTGCGGTTGGCTCACTTACACCCCTCCTGCACCATGTGGCCTGGCATGGCGGAAGGAAGGTTTCTATCTTCCTCCTCCCATCAAGAGTGGCCTGGATTTGATTTGATTTTTGTATGTCCTAGGCATCAAACAGTTCCGGCCACAAGACAAGCATCAATCTAGGGCCAACAAAGAACTGCTATCTGCTCTTCCCCTGACTGATATAAGAATACCACCACCATTAAAGTGTCTCTTTGTCCATTGCCAGCGGATGATATCATGAGTTTTAAGGCAATAGTTGCAGGCAACTTTAACAACTATGCAGAGCTGTTCATCCGTGCCATTACATATTACTGGCGTCTACTAGTTAGAAAGACATTTATAAACAGCAGTACCCTTTGAAACACAGCCTCTGTAATCAGTTTGCTCTGGACAGGGGAGTGTGGTGATAGGATGGTGTCTGGCTGGTTACAGAAATCTTTAAGGCTATGGAATGTTTTATAGACTACACTGGGTACTTGCAGGGCTATCAAGCAAGCCATGTTATTGTCTACGTGACATTGATTCTTAGTCATTAGCATATGTCTTGTGTAAAAATAAAGTTAAGAGTTGAATTTCATTTGTGTAAATATATATTATATCTGTGTTTCTTAATCCACACAGTAAGGGAAGAATCCAAGAGACTGCCTCCAGCAGATGTTGGAGCAGGAACAAAGCTCCTTTTTGATCATTTAGTTCTTTCAGAGTCGAGACATTTATAAATCTGTAATATTCTTAAACAGAAGCAGGTGTAGTTACTGGACATTGTGGGTTATGAATTTTTTTCTGTTGTATTTTATTATCACTCTATGAGCTGTTGTAATGATCATCTTGTTCAATGGGAAGACAAGCACAGCATCAGAGCTGAGGTTGAAGAGCTGGGAGATGCTGAGGATGGCGAGATGACTGGAAGGGTCCATTGTCAGCACAGTTGGATGGTACTGGGCCAAGGCCTGGAAAGCAACCATCTCTCTCAATGGCTGCCCAGAACAGGAACCTTCAAACACTGCTGTCAGAAGCCCCGCTGCTCTTTCAGCCTGTTTAAGGAAACAAAGCACAGCAAAACAGCGCTCTCTTTCTTTCCAGCAACTACTGATATTCCACCATTATAGGATTAGCTCTGTCAGTTTGTATTCCTCTCAAGGGAAAATGATGTTGTCTACAGAAAAAAATACAGTTTCCAGTCTGCTACCACACAGAAGCCAAATATATGAAACCTGTGTATTTCATATAAATTTTACTAACTTTATATCTTAGCAGTTAATTTTTTTAAAGAAAAAATTGTACTTAACAAAGTGGACATAGACACACATCTGCTGGATCCGTTTTATCTGTTCTATGGGCCAATGGTTGCTTACATGATCTCTCAGAAGTTAAGGGACCTGAGTTGTAATCTTAAATATGCCACTATTGTTAACATAAGTCTGAACTCAGTGACGTCACATTCAGGCACCAGGTGACTTCTGCATCGTTGCTGAGGCAACCAAGATAATCACTCCCAGAATTCACCTGTCTCGTTCACCTGTACCTGCGAAGAAGTTACACATCATCACCCGCTCAAATAGTTGGGACCGCCCCAACCTCTTCCTCTCTCCCTCTCTCTCTATCTCTCTCTTCCTCCCACCACTTCTCCCGCTCCTCTCTCCCATCCCCCTCCCTAAATAAACCACTTCCTGTTGAAACGGGTCGACCTTGTGCTGTCTGTCCAAACCACGCCAGAATCTTGCAGCTATGGAATTCAGCTGGATTGTAAATTCCCTGAAAGCCAAGTTGAGAATTCTGTATTAGCATATCAAAAGAAATGCTGGACACACTCTGAAAAATTGCAGGGGCTTATTTACAAGAATTCTGTTTGTTAAAGGTCTGAGTGGGAAGGTATAAGGCTTAGTGCAGAAGTGCAGACTGGGCTAGCAGCAACAGAGCTGTCCCTGGGCTCTGCTAAAGGAGGAAAGAATGCAGGTACAGGAGGTTGGAAATTTCGGGCAGGCAGAAGGACTGTAATAGGCCTTGGCCAGTCTGAGCCCATCAGAGGGACCTGCAGAGAGAGGAAGCCAGGGGAGTGATTACCTTGTCACTCTCTTCCAATTGATCTCCTGCCAGGGCTGCCATCAGCTGACTCCATCTGGAGCCCATGGGCCTGGGAGCTGCTGAATTTAATTCATATCAGTTATGGGCTTACCTTACTTTACAACATCTGGAAGAATGGATTGCACTTAGTTGGCACAGAATCACAGTAGAACCTCTTGGTCTTTTGAGTGTCATTCCCCAAATGCAGATATTAAGATGCTCTTCAAGGGCCCTCATCCGTCTTCCCAACCTATTAATTCATGCTGAAATGAGAATGTGACAGTCTGGGGAGAAATTCTGAAAACTATGAGTACTTTACCATAAAGTCAAGTATCATGTGTCTCAAGAAACAGATTAATCAAAAAACCAAGATAACATTTGTTTTGAGCAATATACTTTAGGATAGGAGACAGGGAAATGTTTCCTGTCGACTCCTATAGAGTCTGAATTTCTATACATTATGTTCTGCGGCAGGGGTAGGGAAAGGATACTTCTGTTCTTAATGCTGTCAGATGCTTTCCTAAAAATGGGGCCACTAGAATGTGCCATCTATGAGTGATTTGGTGGGTGCTATCTACCAATGCAAAATAAAAGGTTTGCTGCAGAAAGGTTACTATAGCCCTAAAATGGGATATTAATTCAAAGAAAAGACCGTACAGTCTTAAAGTGCCATTAAAATGAATAGAGAGAAATGATACCTCAAATATGATAATGTCCATCAAACTGCATTACCAACACCACTGACAACAAAATGTTTCAGGCTAGATTTATTCTTCAACTTTAGGGAAGCCTGCATTTTCATTTAGCAGTTCTTAAGGTTGGCTGCCATCATCCACAAAGGCAAGGACAAAACTTCAGAAGGTTGAAGGTCTACAGCTTTGAGATACGTTCACGGCGTGATGTCTCCTGTGATTTCAAAATGTGTAAATGTCACCCCTCCCTCCAACAATGTACCCTCTGGCGGCCATCAGCATAATCCATGAGCTCCTTGAAGTTGTAGAAGGACATCCTCATTGTTCATGTGCAGCTGGTCTCCTCACGTGGGACGGTGATGAGCATATCACAGTTTCACAGGGAGACAGATCCAGGGAATGACAGCGGGGTGCTTAGCCACTTTAGATTCACATCAAAGCCAGTCTTGGAACTTGGCATAGGTGTGGAATGATGGGAAAGGAGGCACTCAGCTTGCAGAATTTCAAAGGCTCCCTTCACTTTAAGGGGAAAGCACTCCATAGATAAAAGACAACAGGACGACAGGAACAGCTGTGCCAGGCTTTGCTTCATGCTTACACTGCAGAGGACACCCGTTAGATGTACAACGCGAGGAAAGGACTGCCAACTTTGTGATTTCATTTTCACCTACTTCTGAGTGCCTGGAAGCAACAACATCTGTAGCAAGAACGGCCCCCTTTCCTTCTCACTCCACTCCTTCACACTTGAAAGGCATCTGATGGGTCTCTGCCATTAATGCTACGCATTACTTGATAAAGTCCAGACTCCAGAATGTTAGGATTTTAGGACTAGGAAAACAGGGAGAAGATTAGAGAAGAAACGCATTCTCACTTTCGTCTCATATTATAGTTTTTAGGTAGTGGGGCACAGTCGTCAAAAGCCAGCATCAGAACTGAGTAGCTGGGACTGAATCTGTATCTCCACGCTTCCGAGTTGGTTACTCTGAGTAGAACGTGTCTCCATTCCCTCAGCTGTAAGAGCGATTAGTTGTGTGGATCTTAGATGAAGTCCTGCTTGTTGGGACTGCTATTATTAGGTACACTGTTGGTGTTTCTTTGGTGGGAACTAGCTCAGCGAGGGGGAATGTTGACTTGAGCAGGACTTCCTCGTGCCCGTGTTTGGGATAGGAGTAGGGCACAGAGAGGCAGAGGAGAACAGGAAGTATCAGCAAAGTGGGAAATGGGAAAGGACAGAAGGGACTTGGGATTTATTTTGGATTTATCAACCTCAGCTTTGCCAGGCAGACCCTTGTCCATCTCCTTCTGTTCCACCTTCGGTTTGTTCTTCTTGCCGCTGTTGTACAGTGTCACCACCCCAAGCTGGTGCAGGCTGTGTTCTATGCAGGCGTGCTTGCTCCTTTTGTGCTCTTCCGTAATTTTTTCGACTCTTGCATCAGCTTATGTGTGTGGTGTGTTGCCTCAGGGCTTGTCCTTGTATGAAAGGATAGGAGTAGCTCTCCCTTCATTTCTGTTTTTCATAATCCTAATACAATTTGTCAATGCTAGCCTAAGTCTTCAGATTACTACTTTGTTCTGGCTTCTCACTTTTATTATCCAGGTTTGGTAATGGCTCCGTTATTCCTGAAAGTCAGTCTAATTATTTCTAATACGTTCTCCACAAGAAGAATAATTTTGAGCATATATATATGAATTATATTTGGTAATAGTAATATCATAAAACTATTAAAATTGTAAAACACACATGAGAGTGCACTTTTGTTAAATTCTAATATACGTATTTTTGGTCTGAGCATTTGTGCCTGCTCTGACTCACAGGCTCAAACCTAATCCCCCTGGTGACAGTGGTAAGTGACATGGTCATGAAGGTCCTAGTAGCATGCACAGATCAAAGACATGTGTCCCTGTGAGGACACATCTAGTCATGCATCCCTGAGGCACAGAACCTCAGCCTCAGTGTTGAACTTCCCAGGCTCCTGAACTGTGAAAAATAAAGGCTTGTGTTTTAAGCCACAACTGATGGTGTTTTGACATATTTCTCTTAAGGGACTGTGGCAGATACCAAGAACAAAAACCAAAGCCAGGTAGATCTGAATGTATTACCTGTAAAGAGTAGACCCTGTAATGTAGGGACACTTGCGTATCATGTGACAAACTGAAATTCTAGGTGAATTTTTTGTCCATACTTCATTTCATTCTTGGTAACCGCTGAGGTGCTCAGGGTCACCTTGGGGTCACCAGTCTCTGTGTATTACAAGTTACTTTTCTTTGATATCACAATTGGATAAATTCTTCCCATTTGCTACCTATTTTTCTTCTATAAAACCAAGGCAGTTTCATATGAATAAAACTCAGAAGATGACAACACATGGAAATGGAATATTTAATACCATTGTGAAAAGTGTATTTCATGTTTGGTTTTATTAAAGGATGTTTTAAAGGAAGCTAAATACTGGGTTTGTTTTTAGCACTGTTTGC